TAGAACTGCAAGATCTATAGTAGGTTCTTGTATTCAAGTGAGAGAAGTTAGGCTCAAAACCGAAATCTTTATCCAATCTATCTTTATTTGGTGCAGTCTACATTCCTCCATGGCTACTACCCAGGAGGAGAGCAAGGTTGCTTCCCATCCAGCTTACTACGAGATGATACTAGCCGCCATTATGGAGCTGGGCAAGAAAGATAAGTCCAGCAAGATGGGTCCAACAAACTGGCAATTTCAAAACAAATTGAGGCCACTTTCGGGGACCACCTACCAGCAGACCACTCTGCTGTGCTTTCCGAATCGCTAGCCAAATTGAAGGAGTCCGGCAAGCTATTGTTCATCAAGAACAACTATTTGAAGTCTGATACCGACGCTCAGCTACGGCGCGGTAGTGGTAATTGTTTCTGCTTCTACTGGGAAGAAGCGAGGTATGCCACCAAAGGGTTCGAATACAAATGGCAATCTTGTGCCAGAGATTGCTGGGATAACACCAATGGGGCCTAAACGTGGACAGGGATGACCGCCCAAGGTGAGTTCGTCGACGGAGGTATTTGTGGAGTGAGATTAGGTCGCATGAGGAGGTGATGTGGAAGGTGGTAAAGGGTGAATGATGATATAATGGTTCTGTGCTATGGTAGGAATGCTAATGAAAATTTGTGTTCTTAGTCATTTTTAGGTGCTGTCTTAAGCTATTTTTTCGCAATTCGAATGTAAAATGCTCTGAAGATGAAATTGTTAGCTGAAAAGGACTGACTTGATGTTTAAAAAAAAAATTGAGAGAAGTTGATGGAAATTTGATCTGTAATGCTACCCATCAAAGAAATAGATTTTGACCATACATTTTGATGTTTCTGATTTGAGAAGGTTATGGATCACTCTAACATTTTTAGATTTGGAGGGAACAGTTAGTTCAAATAGACATACTTTAACATTTTTTAAGCATTTTTTGTACAGCAGATTTGGTATTTTTTGATATTTCAAACTTTAGTTTCATCTACCTGGTTTGACTACAATTTTTCCATATACTTACTTATTCTTGTTAGATATCATGTTCTCTAAGGATTTGGTTTCAATAAAGAATTTTATACAGTCTACATATTTTCCCATTATATTGTTATCAACATCTTGAAGGGGTGAAATTAAGTTTGAGTAAAAGCACGTATTCATTTTTTATTTTGTAATATGATTGCATTCAAAAATTTTGTAGGTAAAGATTGATTTATCCATTGAAGAATCACATGTAAAGGAGTGCATGATGTAGACTATGAGCAAGAGATTTTTTTATTTTCGCTCAAAGGCTTATGTACATTAAAAAAAACTTGGAGGCATAATGTTTGTAAGAAAAAAAAAATCATAAAAGGAACTTATTGAGAGACCAAATGATTGGATTTGATTATATACTTTTTTTTACTCAGAAACATTTAAGGTATATCTTAAATTTAAAAGAAGCTATAGATTTTCTAATTTACATACATTCTCAGTAGTGATGGATGAAACTTCTTTATTATGTAATGAATTTGTGAGGGAAAAAAACAAATGAGTATTAAAAATTAAATTGCCAAAATGAGGACATATAAATAAAAAACATTCAAGTTAAAATGTTTAGATTTCAAGCATTTCTTTGTCGATTTTTCTTAAAATATACAGGATAAAATGATGGAAATTCGCCAGAAAACTATTGACGATAGAGGAATAGTTTATATGACAATAATTTGTGCTAAAGTTTTAGAAGAAACATCTTCATATATTTGTGACTTTGGTTATGGGCCAAAGCGAATAAAGAAAACTATATTTGTTAGAACAAATGCATCGTTTGAGAGAGAGGTCGAGTTTGAAACAAGCTTAAAAATTATACAAGAGAAATATGAGGAATAGGGTAAGATCATTAAATGTCAACAAGAAACTATAGATCGGTTAAAAAATGGTTGCAGAAAAAATTGGCATGCATCCCCCTAATAATGATGGTAAGTTTTAGAACAAGCACAACAAGGTTGATTAAATAAGACAATTTTTGTTTAACTAATATTCCAAATTTCTTCTTGCAGGGCCCAACTTGTCAAATGAAGAAAACAATTATTAGAGTTATGACTTATTTCTTTGGTGTGATACTGTGTTGTTTTCAAGTCTCTTGTAATTGGTTTTTGCAAAATTTGTTGGCTATTGGTGAAACTTTGAAGTTTGAACTACCAACAACAACAACAACAACAACATCAAGCCTTTATCCCACTACGTGGGGTCGGCTGCATGAATCTTTTTTCTCCATTGTGTCCTATTGAACTACCAGTTTCTATAATTACTGCTAATTATTATTTTCAGTTATAAATTTCTCTTGCAATCAATCTATGAATTTTCAATATGTATTTCCTTGTAATTTTAAATGCGATAGACACATTAGATATGCTAGACACATTCGATATGTGTTTGAAAATTAAGGCTGATTCCACCACTTGAATTGATTTATTTGCTTGAATTGTATATCTTGTGCTCATAAAGTTGTTTATCTTGTGGTCATTGATATTTTTATAATGGTAGTGTTTTAGGAAGCAGAAGATTATCTGCATTGAGGACCTCATCCATGAGATTTTCACTATGGGTCCTTTACGTTAAAGAGGCCTATAACTTCTTGTGGCCATTCAAGCACCACTTGGAGGCCTTAAAAACAAGAGGAATCATTATGTGGAGGGTGGAGATACTTGTGATAGGGAGAACTATATCAATGAGCTGATAATAAGGATGAACTAAATTTTCAGAGATTTTGTGATTGATGATTTCTATATCATATTTTGTATTTTTATTTATGGATGTATTTTTAAAAGTGTATGAATGAATATAATTTTTATTTTCTTCTAGCAAATTCTCATTAATTAAATTGATGAATGAATTTTTTTTATTCAATAATTTTCATTTTTGTTATCTGAATATAATAAATTCAGTGTTATTTCTTTATTATGAAATTTATTTATCTAATTAATGAGAACTAATTAGATTTCGCCATTCCGTTCGTTCGTGCCGTTCGTTCGTTCGTGAATCGCCATCCGCCCATCCGTTCGTTCGTGAAACCCATCCTTTCGTTTGTCTGGAATCTAGAGATTGGATTGGGTCCGCACTCCGTCGTCCGTTCGTGAATCGCAACTTGTAAGGGCCTCCGGCATCACACATCAGGAGATCTAGGTAAGTTTTGATTTATGAATACATTGCTTAGATAGTTAGATTGTTTTGTTTGTTATTTTTTTGTTGATTTACTGTTATTTTTTTATTGATTTGCTGTTCTTTGGCAACTATAATGGATCTTGAATTTCAGTTTATTCGCAATATAGGGATTTACAAAACTAACTGGCAACGTCCGCTTACTGTTAATAGATTCAATTTAGGAATTGTTGTTTTGTTATTTCTAAATGCAACTTGAATTGTTGTTCGCTTGCGTTTAAATCAGCCTAGTCTAAATGCAACTTGAAACATTTAGACAAAATTTTAGAATTGTTGTTTTGTGTTAGAAATGCTAAAAGAGATTCTCATGATAATAATTTTAGAATTGTTATTTTGCTATTTCATTGTTTGTTATGATGTAAATATTTTGATTGACGGCCGCTCTTCTTTGGTAATAAATTTTATTTTAGGGTTTAGAAAAATGGAGCGTTATTTAAAGAGGAAAGAGCGAATAGAAATTGACATTAACAATCTCCCAGCAGATTCAGGACTCCGACCTCCTATTTGGAGTTATGATGTAAATGATAGAGATAAGATTCGGAGATCATATCTATTGAAGGGACCCCATCAACTGAGAAGTCATCAATTTCCCCAAACTTTATATGGAAATTTTGCACGTAGGTTCAATATGAATTGGTTTGATGAATACTCTGATTGGTTAGAGTATAGTGTGCAGAAAGACGCTGTTTACTATCTTTATTGCTATCTATTTAAACCTCAAGAGCATATTATTAAAGGTAAAGGTGGTGGGGATTCATTTATTGGAGAAGGTTTTAAAAATTGGAAGAAGAAAGTAAAATTATTATGTCACATTGGAGATCACAATAGTATACATAATAAAGCTAGACAAAAATGTGAAGATTTGATGAAGAACCAAGAACAGAGTGTTCCAGCTTTATGGTTAAGCAAAGATGACAAGAAAAAAAAATAATATAGGATCATGTTGACTGCAGCCATTGATTGTGTTAGATTTTTGTTACGTCAGGAATTATCATTTCATGGACATGATGAGTTTTCCAATTCAGATAATCGAGGAAATTATTTAGAGCTACTTTATTTTCTAGCTGATCATAATGAGGAAATTAAGACAGTGGCATCTGCATATGCTAGCTCAAATCTGAAGTTAACTTCACCAAAAGTCCAGAAAGAACTATGTTTTGCTGCATTAGCTCAAACTTTAACACATATAATGAAAGATATTGGTAACTCATACTTCTCACTTATAGTTGATGAATCCCGTGATATTTCTACGAAAAAACAAGTTGATATTGCAGTGCGATATGTGAATAAGTTGGGCCAAGTGATTGAAAGATTTATAGGCATCAAACATGTCACATCCACTAATGCAGTTACACTGAAGGTAGCCATTGAAGACATTCTAGCTAAACACTCATTGAGCATACAAAGGATTCGTAGTCAAGGTTATGATGGGGCATCCAATATGAGAGGGGAATTTCATGGTTTAAAATCCCTTATTCTAAATGATAACCCTCAAGTATTTTATGTTCACTGCTTCGCTCATCAACTCCAATTATGATTGGTAGCAGTGGTAAAAAATCATTGGCAAGTAAAACATCTCTTTGAGTTCACTTCTAGAATAATTAATACTATTGGAGCTTCTTGTAAGAGATCAGATGCTCTTAAAAGTATTCAGCATGAGAAAGTACTTCTTCATCTTAAAAATGGAAATCTCATAAGTGGAAAAGGTTTGAATCAGGAGACAAATTTAACAAAAATCTAGTGATACTCATTGGAGTTCACATTTCCATTATTTGATTAGTCTTATGCATATGTATGCTTCTGTGATCGAGGTGCTAGAGATTGTTAAGGAAGAAGGGGTTCATGATCAGCAATCAGTTGAAGCGGGTGTTCTGATTGATATAATGGAGTCTTTTGATTTTATCTTTACAATGCATTTGATGATTGAAATATTGGGCATTACGAATGAGTTATCACAATCATTGCAAAGAAAAGATCAAGACATTGAAAATGCTATGAAACTGATTCAAATTTCCAAACAACGACTGCAACTTCTAAGGGAGAATGGATGGAATGGTTTACTAGATGAAGTGTCACATTTTTGTGGAGTTTTGAAAGTTGTTGTTCCAAACATGAATGAAACATATAAAACTCATCGTCGATCAGTAAGAGGAGGTGAATATAAAACAAATCTATATCATTATCATGTTGATTCATTTTATACAGTAGTTGACATGCAACTTCAAGAGCTAAATAATCGATTTTCTGAATCAAGTGCTGAGTTACTTCTATGTATGCCATACTTAAACCCAAGTGATTCTTTTCGAGCTTATGTTGAGAAGAAATTGATATGTCCAGCAGAGTCATATCAAAGTGATTTTTCTATAATTGAGGTTATTGCTCTTAAAAATCAATTAGCAACGTACATTATCGATATGCGGACCAATGAAGAGTTCTCCTATCTAAGAAGCATTGCTGATCTTGCAAAGCAGATTGTTAAGTTCAAGAAGAATGATGTGTATCCTTTGGTTTACAAACTTATTACATTATCATTAACCTTACTAGTTGCTACTACTATGGTGGAGAGAGCATTTTCAGCCATGAAAATTATCAAACATCGATTGCATAGTAGGATGGGTGATGATTGGCTCAACGATTGTCTTGTGCCTTACATTGAAAAAGATGTATTTGATTTGATTCTCAATGAAGATGTTATCTAATATTATCAAAAAATGCAAAATAGATTGATATAATTGTAATGATTTTCAATTTTTCTATCATAATGGAATACAAGATTTCACTATGAATTATGTCCTCTTTTTTTTATATTAGTCTATTATACTAAGAAAATTTTGCCCCCCCCCCCCTTAGATGAAAGGTCGGTTCCTCCCCTAAATATCATGTATTTCATCGAACTGACCCAAAAATCCTATTGAAAATCCTGCTGCCATAACTTCTTCACATCCCCTCCTATAAATCCCCCAAATTATATCGAATAAGATTCGTCTGATCATCATCAATAAAACTGAGCAGAATAACACTTCATGGATTTTGTTTCTATCCGACTACACACCTCACAATTCAAGCTTCTGTTTTGATTTTGAGTGCCTTGCATTCGCACTCTAGGTGAAAGATTTGTTGCAATCCCTCGTTTATCCACATTTCCTAATTAAACTATTAGAAACTTACTTATTCTAATTTCTAGCCAAGAAGTCCATTATCAATCACGATCTTCACAGCCAAAGACCACCTGATCTTCACACTCAATGCAATCCCTCACTCCCATCCACCTCCAAGTCGCTAAATCCACCTTCCCCACTCGACTCCCTACCAACTGAAGCCACCAACTCGGCTGAATAGTCACCTACTTTTAATCCAACACCTGCCCCTTTACCCGATTTCATGCCATCAAGCCTCCAATTCTACATAACGGGGTAAGATTTAAGTACTTGAGTACGTGCCTCAGTGCCTGGGAGGAAAAACTCCAGTTTTTAAAAAGGTACCCTACTACAGGAAATTCATCAAATACTGGCGGTCTGGACCGGCGGTCTCCAGCCGCCGGTATTAACGGCAGTATAACTAGCGGTGTGACCACCAGTTTTTACCGACGGTCGAACCAGCTGTTATGTTAAATACAGCCACCGGAAAAAGCGTCGGTCCAAAAACCACTAGTTAAACTGCTGACATTAAATCGTACCGGTGCGTTACCGGCAGCTCTAACCACCTATGTTAAGTTAATTCATTTCTGGCGGTCGGAATCGTCGGATAGCCACCGTAAAAGGCCTTAGAATAATCTGTCCAGAGCCTTCCATTTCATTTCATTGCGTTCTCTCTCTCTCTTGCTCGGCGCTCGCCTCCGTCTCCTCTGACCTCTCGCGATCGAGACCCCTCCTCCAACCGCCGACGAGCTCCCTTCGGCCGCCGAAAAGATCCTGCAAACGAAGATCTCGCCTCCACTTTGGCCGCCGAAGGCTCTCCCCGCTCTCGTCGCTTCGCCTCCAAGGTTTATATTTTTTTTTTTTTTTGATGCATTTTGTTTTGATTTCAATTAGATTGCATCAAGGATCAGTTTTAAGCCAATATCGTTTTGCTTTAGTCATGGATATTCTCACTAGACATTTGCGAGAGGATGTACCTTGTTGTATGCTTTTTGTTGATGATATTCTACTTGTTGATAAGACTAGAGAGTGAGTTGATGGTAAACTTAAATTATGGAGGTCAACCATAGAGTCTAAAGGTTTTTGCTTTAGTAGATCTAAAACAAAAAATATGAAGTGTAATTTTATTAGTAATAGACCTAGTGAGGGATTTGTGACTTTGGGCGATCAAGTAATTAATAAAAGTACACATTTTAGATATCTTGGATCTTTTGATCAGAGTGATTGTGAAATAGAATGGGATATTATCAGCAAAATTCAAATTGGATGGTTGAAATGGAGAAATGAATCGAGCTTGTTGTGTGATAGAAAATTTCCCCTCAAACTTAAGGGGAAATTCTATAAGATGGTGGTGAGATCTGCAATGCTTTATGGTGCCGAATCTTGGTCATTAAAAGAGAAACGTAATATTAAGTTAAGTGTTGCAGAGATGAGGGTGCTTAGGTGGATGAGTGGCTTTACACTTAGAGATAGGACACGAAATGAGTATGGATGTTCTTTTTGCTTTAGTCATGGTTGTTCTCACTAGACATTTACAAGAGGATGTATATTGTTGTATGCTTTTTGTTGATGATATTCCTGTTATTGATAAGACTAGAGAGGGATTGATGGTAAACTTGAATTATATAGCTCAAACATAGAGTCTAAAGTTTTTCGCTTGAGTAGATCTAAAACTAAGAATATGAAGTATAATTTTAGTAGTAATAGACCTAGTGAGGGGTTCGTGACTTTGGGCGATCAAGTCATTAATAAAATTATACGTTTTAGATATCTTGGATCTATTGTTCAGAGTGATGGTGAAATAGAAGGGGATATTATCAGCACAATTCAAGTTGGATGGTTGAAATGGAGGAATGAATCGGGCTTGTTGTGTGATAGAAAAGTCTCCCTCAAACTTGAGGGAAAATTCTATAAGATGGTGGTGAGATCTGCAATGCTTTATGGTGCCAAATCTTGGTCATTAAAAGAGAAGCATAATACTAAGTTAAGTGTTGCAGAGATGAGGGTGCTTAGGTGGATGAGTGGCTTTACCCCTAGAGATAGAATACGAAAAGAGCATATACGTGAAAATGTTGGAGTACCTCTAGTGGATGATGAGATTAGAGAGTGCTGCCTTAGATGGTTTGGTCACATAAAACAGTTGAAACTTGTTAATTGTAAATTAGGTTGTTAGACCTAAGCTTATATCCCAACGGCTAACCATGAGGGGAGTGAATTGGTAATTTAAAAAAAAAATCCTCTTTAACTTTTTAAACTGATAAAAACTTTAATAAATTTTTTAAAGAGATTTTTCAACCACAGATCGACAGAAATAGTGAAGAAAAAAAGCAGCAGAAAATAAAAAGACAAAAGATTGATAGTTGTTCGGTCAAATACGACCTGCATCCACTCCCTGAAGTCTCCCACTTCAGGTATTGCACTATTACCACTTAGTGTCTCTCCTTTTTCCCCCATAGCAAGGTGGAGAAGCCTTCGCCAAAAAACTCTCTTCCACCACTACCTGATGCGACAGAGAATCATCATCCTTTTACACCCTTCAAGTGTAGGCAGAGTACCTCTCACTGTTCACACTCTCAAAGTGTATGCAGAGAACCTCCCGATGTTCACACTCTCCAAGTGTAGGCAGAGAATCCTTCGGCTGTTCACACTATCCAAGTGTTGGCAAAGAACCCTTCAGATGTTCACACTCTCCAACTGTAGACAGAGAACCCTTCAGTTGTTCACACTCTCCAAGTATAAGTAGAGAACCCTTCGTCTTTTCACACTCATCAAGTATCGGTAGAGAATCGGATCTTCATGAACAGATCTTCTCACGAGAAATCTGGAAGGAAAAGAGAAAAGAGTGACGCAATCACAATTATAAAGCAACAATCCTTACCTTTGAGTACCAAGTGAATCCTTCATGCTCCAATAGTAAAAAGCTTCCTTCAAACACTCTCTCACACTCTCTCCTTCAATCTCCCTTCAATTTGAACGAAGACCAATTGACAAAAATATCACTAGACAGTTTTAAGTGGACCTTTTATATGAAAGACACGAAAAACTGTTATATTTAAAATCTGTTCATACTAGATCGTCCCGTACATTCAAAATTCATACGTACGAACAGTGTAAAAACTGTTGCGTACGAACTCAATGTGCATTGGTACAAAATGAATTCGACCTGATCATCATCTCGTACGAACATAGTTCGTCTGGTACGAATAGTTATTTCAAGGCTTCATTGGAAGATAACTGCAGCATGGTGCTCAAGGTTAAGGAAAAGAGGACATCGTCCTGGGACGAATGTACAAGTTCGTCTAGACGTACAGTATGGAGCATGAGTCCAGAGATCATCGTCCTGGGACGAACAGGCTAAAATCGTCTGGACAATTAGCATAAGTCATGAGTCCAGAGGACATCGTCGTGGGATGAATGTACAAGTTCGTCTGGACGAACAGTATGGAGCATGAGTCCAGAGAACATCGTCCAGGGATGAATGGGACACTTCGTCTGGATGAATAGTTCAAAGTGAGAAATCAGAGGCCATCGTCCGGGGACGAACTGGGTAAATTCGTCCGGACGATCAAGACTTAGAAAATTTTTCTCACTCTCTGTTCGTTCCATTACTCCCCGAAGGGTAGAACTGAACTGATCGTCCTGTACGATCATGGTTCGTCCTGTACAATCAGTATAAGAAATTTTGACTTTTTAAAGATCTCTCCCAGTGTGTGTGTGTGTGCGCTAAGTTACTCAATTACAATCACACTCACTGACTTAAAATGAACAAAATACAGACTCCAAATTATAAAATAGTATAGTTAGTTTTTATTTGAAGTCTTCACCAATCTGTAGTATAATTTCTCTGAAATGTTAGTACACACAACAGCCAAAAGTAATTCTTCCAAAATGTGTTAGGATAAATTAAATAATCAATACAATAATATTTAGAATCATCAAAATAATAAGTTGCAAGAATATAAAACATGCAAAAGCTAAGTAGAACCTCTCTTAACAAAAACGACAGCCTTCAGATGACCCGGTTAGGAAAGTAGACGTATTAAATTTGACTTATGTTAAGAAAGGTAGAGATAGACCTAATCATCCTCATCTCTACATATTATTATGCTTCTCTTTTAATGTCCAAAATTCGACACCATAAAATTTTGAACTTGTTTTTTCTTGGGTGGATGAGTGGCTTGACCCTCAGAGATAGGATACGAAGTGAGCATATACGTGATAAGGTTGGAGTAGCTCCAGTGGAGGATAAGATTAGAGAGAGCCGCTTTACATGGTTTTGTCACATTAAACGTGGGCCTTCTGATGACCTGGTAAGGACTGGAATTACACCGGCGACACGTCGACGATTGCACCGCCAGCATTACCATTGGTGTTAGCCGCCGCTAACCAAACCGGCAATCACCGGCGCTTAGACCGCTAGAAGCTAACCGGCAGTCGACCGGCCGGAACGTCGCCGGTACCAAAACTGCGGTCCCCGGTGCTTAGACCGCCGGAAGATAACCGGCGGTACTAACCGTCGGAAAATTGCCAGTATAACAAACCGCCGGTAAAACACCGCTGGA